CTCACTCACCTGTAAGCTACTGCAAGGCGTGGGCCATGACATCCCAGCTTTGAGCTTTCTCCCAATGCCTAGCAAAATGCTTTGCACTGAGTAGTTGCTTAATAAATGTTTAATGTGTTTACTGTATAAGCTGATTGTGTCCTAGTATTTACGTTAAGAAGCTTGGTGTAGTGGGAAAAGTATAGGGCAGGGAACCAGGAATTCCTGGGTAGGAGTTCTCTGCAGTCTTTCTTTTGGTGATCTTATCAGCTCAATTCTCACTCCTATGTAGATGACCCTCAGCTATATATATCTAGCTCTAGTCTTTCCTGAACTGGAAGTCCTTATTACCAACTGCCTGTTGCACATATCCAACTATCTTGCCCATAAGAATCTCAAATTCAGTATGTCCAAAACAGAACTCATTCCTCTCTTCCCCCACCAAAAAATCCTTCTCTTTTCAACTTAGACCTTATTATTATTGTTATTATCATTATTATTATTATTGGCCAGGCAATGGGGGTAAGTGACTTGCCCGGGGTTGCACAGCTAGTGAATGTTCTGTGTCTGAGGCTGAATTTGAACTCGGGTCCTCCTGAGTCCAGGGCCGGTGCTCCATCCACTGCACCACCTGGCTGCCCCTAGACATTATTTTTGATGCTATTCTCATCCTGAGTTTGCAGCCTTGATAATTTTTGACTCCCACGCCCCTGACATCTACTCCATTGCCAGATCTTGTCAGTTTCTCACCCACAATATATCTCTCCATCAGTCAGTCAGTGAGTGTTTATTAAGTACTTATGTGCCAGGTACTGTGCTTCGAAGCACAGGATTGATGATGTGAAGAAAGGCAAGGAAATGCTGCCTGCTGTCCAGGGGCTTATAGTCTAATGAGGGTGATGATGTGCAAATGACTGTACAGACCAGGTGGCTACAGGATAGATTGGAGATCATCAGTCGGGGGAACTGGAAAGGCTTCTTACAGAAGGAGCAATTTCAGCAGACTTGAAGGAAGCCAGAGCCAGCAGGAGGTGTGGATGAGGAGGGAGAGTTCCCAATTTGGGATGCAGCAAGTGAAAACTTCCACTATCCAGAGATGGAGTTGGACAGGTGGCAAGGAGGTCCTGTGTCACGCAGAGTGTGGAGAGTAGAGGATATAAGAAGACGTTATGGAGGGCTTTGAAGGCCAAACAGAGGATTTCTTATTTGATTCTGGAGGTAGTTGGATGGTGGTGGGGGGGGTGTATCACATGATTAGACCCATGCTTTAGGAATATTGACTTAAGAGCTGAGTGAGAGAGGCCTGAGGTAGGCAGACCCCCTAGCAGCTAAATGCATTAGTCTAGGCCGGAGGTGATAAGGACCTGCACAAGAGGGGTGGCAATGTTAGAGGAAAGAATGGGGCATATGAGAAATGTTAGGAAGGTACAAACAACAGCTCTTGGCAACTGATTGCAGTAGTTTGCATCCTGTCCCCTTCTCTCTAACTCACAGTAAGACCCTCATGATATCTCAGTTGCACTCTTGCGGAGCTGCCACATTGAACTGGCTGGGTCAAGAAATTCTTAATGAAATGCTTAAGAAATTCTAGTGGCTCCTTCTTAACTCTAGAACAATATCCAGATTCTTCTGTTAGGCTTTTGAAGCTCTTCACAATCTGGCTTTTAGCCTCCCTTTCCAGGATCATTTCTTCACTTCAGTGATGATGTTTCCTAGGTTCCTTTGTGTGGTTTGTCCCCCTGAACTCCCTCCACATCTCCATGTCTCAGAATCCCTAGTTTCCCTCAAAGCCCTACCTCTTAGGGGAAACCTTACCTGATCTCCACTCCCTCCCTTCCCATTTCCAAGTACTGTCCCCCGGACATTACTTTGTATATATTTACTTTTCTGTAATAAAAATAACCCTAATTCCAGCTGGTAGAATTTAAGTTCCCTGAAGTCAAGAACTGTTTCAATTTTGTCATTTAACCCCAGTACCTGGCATATAGCAGATACATTAAAAAGTGCTTTTTAATTGAATTGAGGTTTGGGTTAAAATCAGTTCAACTTATTCTTCTGATTTGGAGGTTAGGTTACATAGAGGTGAAGCATGTAACCGTGGAAAAGAGAGTTTCCAAGGATGTAATTTATGGATGGCATTTTTTTCTAGCTGAAATCAGCCATAAGCAAATGGAAGGCCCAGTCTTGCTGTTTGGTCTAGGTATGACATCGTAGAAATTATTAAGCATGCTAGTTCGCTTCACTGGCCCATTGTATTGACAGTGGTAGATTATTGCCAATTACAGCTCTGCCAACTGAACTGGAATTTGCAGTAAACTGTGGCCTGTTATCTAAAACAGTGTAAGCTGGCACCCGGTGTAATGGGATGCCCAGACCAAATGTAAGGACAAGCTTAACCTGGGCCATAGAGTTAGGGAACACAGTTTGAATAAGTGGTCTGTGACAACAAAGTTCTTGCTCCGCTAAGGCAGAAGATGCAGGAATCCAATGACAGAATCTGATTAGTCCAGCAAGCAGTTCAATCAGGGCCATGCTCATCAGCCAGCTCCAGTCAACAGCTTGAATAGCCTCCAGGAGTCAAGAGCACTAGGGCTTGGTGACCTGAAAGCAGTCTTAAATGACTCAGCTAGAACGGTGTCCCCTTAATTATCGTCCCCACTACAAGGAGTTAGTCTGGAGCTCCATCATCCATCCCTGGGTATGCATCTGGTGGTGGTGGTCTGATTACATACCTTTCTCATCCTGCTAAAGGAAATTATTGTAAATACTGCAAGTTAGGAGTTCTTCAGGCTAGGAAATTTGTGCAGAACCTCGTGCTCTTGGGAGCTTTGCCCTCATCCCTTCATAAAATAACCTCGTGTATGTCTCCCTTAAAAATATCTGCCTTCTTGCATTCTGGGAGTGTAGATCCCAAGGTGGAGGAAACCTCTTTGTCTTTCTGTGTAGGGGAAAGGATGGAGTTGGGATTTGTTATCACTGGTTCGGGTGGCTAGGGTGGCGCCTGCTAATGAGAACCAGACCCAGTATAGACGAACTCTAGGCCTTTTGCTAAATATGTGGCTCTGAGGCTACCCTTGTCTTTACTGCCAGTTATATACCACATGGAAAAAGACAACACTCTCAGACAGATAGGTCTCGTGAAATTTTGTTAGTGGGGGCTTTTCCCCCAGCTTTTTAATAGAAAGTATATTAGTTGTTATAGAACCTCCCTTTCTGTTGCACATGTTCTATAAGAAAGAAACCGAGATGTCATTGAAGTAGGCAACTTCTTGGTCAGTGAGGTCTGCTACATCTCATTAACAACATGATGAAATGTGGGTGGTGTATGTAATCTAAAAAACACCACTCCTTATTGGAAGTGGAAGTGTTTATTATGCGTGCTATAGATCATCATACAGTGATCCTCACAACAAATGTGTGCCAAACTATAATCTCCCTTAGAGATGATGAGTTAGGAACAGTGAGAAGAGATTTCTGACCACTCTCTCCTTTGGTACGCTAGATTTATAAGTAAGCTCATCTGTTACCATTTGGGGGCAGAGGAAAAAAATGTAGTGTCTGTTGAGGAAGAGATAGGTGAAAAAAAGCCCCTTCTGGGTTTTCCTTCAAATACCCTTCAAATACTGGTACTCTTCTTCGTGTTGCCTTCTGGTTTGATCTTGAACTGCCATGAACACATAAACATATGGATGAAGTATGTGGAGGGATATTGTACTAGAGTCTAGCTCAGTTATCAATCTAAATGAATATGAGAGTTGTAAGGGACCTTGGAGGTTTAGTCCACCGTTCCTGAAGCATGAATCCCTTCTGTGACACCCACAAGTGGTCAGTTTTTCCTTGAACACTTCCCATGAAAAGGACTTCATTTTCAGTTAAGGCAACCCATTCCGGTTTGGGACCACTCCAAATTGTAGGAAATTCTTCCTTCTATTGAGAGAAAATCTGCCTTTCTGTAACTTCTATTCATTGGCTCTACTTCTGTTTTCCAGGAGTCAAGAAGAATTAAATCTAAGCCCTTTCCCATGTCACAATCTTTCCAGTGTTCAGGGACACTCCTATCCCTCCAGGTTTCCTGTTCTTCAAGTTCTATAAGTCTTCTTTTCATATTAAATATTCCCTTTCCCTTATGTGGTCTGGGAGAATAGTAAGAAGGTAGGTTCTGTGAAGGCAGGGACTGTCTCACTTTGATCTCTAGTGCCTAACCCTAGCTCATAGTGTGTGCTTCATAAATGTTTGCTGATTGATAGTTTTGGATTCCCTCACTGGCCTTATCAGCCACCTCTCAATAAGCTTCAGCTCTTTAGTGTCTTTCCTAAAATCTGGGGTTTGACAACTGTACCCCATTCTCTAAAGGAGATCAGCATAGATGCCTGCTGCCAGCCCCACCCTTGTGGTATGTCCTACCGTCTGATTCAACCACAAGCATTTATTTTTAAATATTTTATTGATGCCTTTTGCCGCAGCATCACATTCGTTTCTGATTATACTTCTGCCTTACCTGGTGAGCCTTCCTTTGTAACAGAGAAATAACAACAAAAAAGACAGCTTAGCAAAAATCATGAAGATGGCAAGTCTGACAACATCTGTAACATTCCAGTCTTATTTAATTCCCCGCCTCCTCAACAAAACAGGGAAGGTTCTTTTTCTCATGTCATCTTTTTGACAAAGTGTGGTCATTATACAATTGGCTTTGTTTCATTTTTCTATTTACGTTACAAAAACCGTCTATCAAGAACCTCCTATGTGCCAGTTACGGTGTCAGGTATTGGGTATTGTCTCTGCCCTCAGGAAACTTGCATCTGCTGCAGAAATGTGGGTTGTATCGGAGCTGTGAGAGTGCCCACCAATATGATGAGCCTGACATGCGTTTGGTGGCAGTGCCACGGATGTTGACATGAGTTCACAAGCATTTAAGGAAAAAATAAAGTGAAATATTTTTAAAGTTCCTGCTGTGTGGTGCCTGATACTGTGCTAAGTGCTAGGGATACAAAAGAAAGGCAAAAGATAGTCCCTGCCCTCAGGTCACAATCTTACAGGGGAAGGCAACACATAAAAAGAAGCTGAAAAGTGGGGTGGAGAGGGGGAAGCATGATGAAATCGTGCAGCCAGATGGAAAGTGATGTGATGGCTTCTCTGAGCGCCCTCCTTAGATAGAGGCTCTGGGACGAGCTCTCCCTAATGTCCACCCTCCAACTTCTCCGATCAGGGACACGGATTGCTGAGGAGGTGTGAGTTTCAGAGCTGATAGGATCTTGCAAGATGAGTTTCTGGAGACCGTGATGAAATCCAGGAGAGCAGCCAGTGGGAAATGACAAGAAGCGTTGCTAACTTAACCTGCAGTTCTCTCCTCATTATAGGTATGTTATCTGTTTTATAGCCACCTGTTCCAACTTCACAAATAATTACTGGCATTTAGACAGTTCTTTCAGTTTTACAAAGCGCTTTCCTCACAACAACCCACTGGAAAAAATGTTGAATTCACTGTTAGAAGATTTGAGTCTGTAATTTTCTGTGTGACCCTGGAAGAGTCGCTTAACTTAGTTTCTTCCTCTATACAATAAAGGAGCTGGGCTAGAAGAACACTTCTGGTGTCCCTTTCATCTCTAATTCTATTATGCTATGAACCTATGATATCTCTAAAGTGAAAGAATTACGCAGGGTCATCTTAAAGGCTCCCTCAGTCTCTTAGTCCTCTGATCTAGTAGACAGGTAGTACCTGTGTGATTATTCCCATTCTGCAGAGAAGGTAAGAGGCTCATGGAGGCAACGTGACGTGCATATGGTACCTAAGACATGGAATTCAAATCAGGACTGTCCTGGCTGCAAGGAGCCATTGGACTACATGCTTCATCTTGGGGGAAGAGGGTGCACAGAGAGGTCTCGTGACTTTTCTGAGATCATGGGGAGGATCTTGGCTGTAACAGGTCCTGCTGGCCTCCATTTTCATTCAAGACTTTTGTGCTACAAGGGGCTCACACTTGGTGGTAGCCCTAACTCCAGGCTGGCCCCCGACTTCATAGACATTAAGCTTGCACATATCTGTAAGTCCCTTTTAAGGTCTTAAAGACCTTAAAGACCTTTTAGTCTCGGTGGAAGAACCAACAGATTCCTAGCCCAAAAACCTCTAAGAATGTTTTGCTGGTCAAGCAGACCTTGAAGAACACAACTAATTTGGATAGTCCTCTTGCCATTTGCAATTAGAATGATGTGCTACATAGTCTTAATGTTTAAGAGACGTTGAGAGGAGTTCCACCTCTTCCTGAGAAAATCTGAGTCATGCAAGAGATCTTGTAAAATTAGACATGGCTGGTAACCTGAACCAACATGACTATACATGGAGCTCTGGACTTGTTAGGCCTATCTGCTCTATAAAAGAACAGTGAATGAAAGGTAGCCAGACTAGGAGCTATTGGTGAAAGTTTCAATGGAGTCCATTTAAGTTTGATGTAAGGACATACTTGCTAACAGTCTGAGCTATCCAAAGTAGAATGTGCTTCTCTGGGAGCAAATGTTTTCCCCTGACCAGAGGACTTCATCGTGCAAAGGCTTGATACTCACTTGTTGGGGGTATTGGAAAGGGTGTTCTCAGTGCATTAAGGATGAGACTAGATAAATTCTTAAGGCCTTTCAAACTCAGATTCTGGAATTCTTTCTCTTAAAGAAAATAGACTATCTTAGTGTCCTAAAGGGAATGCAAACTGAAGTAGGAAAAAAATCTGTTTCTTGCCTTCAAAAGGAGATGATGGGTTGACTAGTCCAAGGAAAGATCAGAAGCTTAATACTGGAAGGGTCGTCTTGTCTCACTACCTTGTCTTTTAGGTGAGAAAAGTGGGACCCAGAGAAGTTGTGCATCATTTTTTCAGGGAGATGGCCAAGAGAAGTGAGGTGACTTGCCCAGGGTCCCGCTGATGGTAATTAGCCAAGGTAGTCTTCAAACTGGGGTACTTGGACTCCAAAACCAGTGTTCTTACCACTATCCTATATTGCTTCTATAGATGGAATACAGTACAGTGGAAGAAGCCCAGGATCCTAACACCACTCCCCGTATGATGTTGGGTAAATCATCTTGCCTCTCTTAGCCCTAGTCTCCTCGTATGTAATATGAAGAGGTTGGACTAGATAACCTCTAAATTCCTTGTCCTCTCTAAGTCTATGATTCTGTGATTTTGTGAGGTTTATCTTCCAGGTCGCATGACCACAAGAGAGAGACAAAGCTGAGTTGCTGGGTTAGAACCATAGCTGAAGAAAGTTGACCTACAAAAGGCTTGTCTAGATTCAGATACAAAGTATTCCTTAAAGAAATGAAGGACAAGTTAAATGACTGGTGCTGTGGATAGAGTGCAAGGCCTAGAAGCAGGAGAACTCATCTTCCTAAGTTCAAATGTGGCCTCAGACACTTACTAGCTGTGTGACCTTGGGCAAGTCACTTATCCTTATTTGCCTTGGTTTCCTCATCTGTAAAATGATCTGGAAAAGAAGATGACAAACCAACTCCAGTATTTCTTCCAAGAAAGCCCCAAATGGGGTCAGGAAGAGTTGGACACGGCTGAAATGACTGAACAATAACAATAATATTAAGTGTTCATAGCTAGGCTGTGGTAATATAATAAAAGTGACTATACTACCAAAATTAAATAACACTTTTAATGCCATACTAATCAAATTGCCAAGAAGATACTTTATAGAACTTGATAAAATAATAGGTATTCTGTTGGAAAAACAAAAGATTTCAAATATCAGGAGAAACGATGAAAAGAAATAGGAACAAAGGGGAAATAGCACCTCAATACCTGGAACTATAGTATAAAGCAGCAGTCATCAAAATCATGTACTATTGGTTTAAAAAAGAAAGAGAAATAAATTAATGGAACAGAGTAGACAAGGGAAAATAGAAAACAATAGAACTCAATAACCCAATGTTTAATAAAGCAGAAAACATTAATTATCTAAGAAAAATCTCCTTATTTGGTAAAAACCCTATCAGATAAATACACACACATATACATACACACACACACACATATATACACATATATATGGAGAGAGATTAATAGCCGTTCCTCAATAGATAAGTGGTCAGAGAATATGAATAGTAAGTTCTCAAGAGAAGAACTGCAAAGTATTCCCAACCATAAAAATGCTACACAGCTCTAATAATAAGAGAAATGCGAGTCAAAACTACCCCAAGTTTCACCTCATAACCTTCCAAATCGGCAAAAATGATAAAAAATGGAAAGTCAGTGTTGGAGGGGTTGTGGAATGATAGACACAGTAATACATTGTTGGTGGTGCTGTGAAATGATACAACCGTTTTGGAAAACAATTTAGAATTATGCAAATTAAGTTAGTAATATGTCCATACCCTTTGAACCAGAGATTCTATTACTGGCTTAACTCCAAAAGAAGCCATCAATAAGAAGAAAGTTCTAATATTCTCAAAAATTTATAGCAACACTTTTCACGAAAGCTATTGGAAACAAAGTAAATGCCCATCAATCGGGGAATGGCTAAACAAATTGTTGTTCATAAATGTAATGGAGTATTACTGTGCTATAAGAAATGATATACATGAATTTGGAACTATGCCCAAAGGCTATAAAACCATGCATACCTTTTGACCTAGCAATACTACTACTAGGTCTGTATCCCAAAGAGATATTTTTAAAAAGGAAAAGGACCTATTTGTACAAAAATATTTATATTCACTCTTCTTGAGGTGGCAAAGAATTGGAAATTGAGGGGATGCCCATCAATTGGGGAATAGCTAAACAAGTTGTGGTATATGATTGTGAATGAATACTATTGTACTATAAGAAATGATGAACAGGATTCTTTCAGAAAAACTTGGAAAAAATTATGTGAACTGATGCAAAGTGAAGTGAGCAAAACCAGAACATTGTGCACAGTAAGCAATATTGTATGAAGATCAACTGTGAATGACTTAGCTATTCTTGGCAAGACAATTCTGAAGGACCTATGATGAAAAGTGCTGTCCACCTCCAGAGAAAGAACTGATGGGAATGGGAATGCAGATTGAAGCATACTGGATTTTCTTTCTTTTTTTTTTTTAAATTATTCTTGGTTTTTGTGTTTTCTTTCACAACACTAATATGGAAATATGTTTTCCATTACTGTATATGTATAACCTTTATTAAATTGCTCACCTTCTCAATGAGGGGAGAGGGAAGAGAAGGTGAGAGAGAATTTGGGACTCAAAATTGTTATAAAGAAGGTTAAAATGTGTTTTCATATGTAATTGGGAAAAAATTAAATATTGAAATTTTAAAAAGAAATTATGTGCATGATGAATATAGAGAAGCATGGAAACAGCTATATGAACTGATCAGAGTAAAGTAAGCAGAGCCAAGAAAACAATATGCACATTAAGTACAATAATGTAAATGGAAATAACAATTATACACCAAAAAACCCCCCAAAAGTAAATTTAACAAAATTATGAAAATCAAGTAGGACTCAAATAAAGACATACAAGAGGACACCCCCAATCCACCCCTTCATGGAAATGAAAGGTCCACAGTTGTTACACGTTGCACATGTTTTTAGGTTTTTTCAATGTATCAATCAGTTGTGCTCATTTTCCCCCCTCTCCTAAATATACTATTTATTATATGGGATAGCTCACTGGGAGGTGGAGGGAGAGGGATACCTGGGATAACCACAATGATAAAAGAAAAAGAAAATATTAATAAAATGTTTTTTTTTAAAGCAAGGACCTCAAAGGAGAGAGAACCCATGACAATGAAAATACAAATTGGATAAAATTCAGCACACTTAATATATAAATGACAGAATACTTACATCAAAGGAGATGCCTGGAATTCTGGCTTCCCTGAAAAGCTGCAAAGCAGTGGGACTAGATCAGATCCATAATTATTGACTCAAGTACTTCAGTGGCATATGAATTACTAACAAGGCACTTTACCATTTGCCTCTCAGACACAAGCCTGATCCACCTTTCTTAATATAAGACATCACATATCTATTACCAAAAGATGAAAGTAACAGTGACCCCTCCAAAGTATAAGCCAACTACATGTTTTCATACCTTTAACAAAGCATTCACAGCTTGTATCATGGGAAAAAAAAACTATAAATGCTTAGAAAAGAATATATTGGGGGCAGCTAGATGGCACAGTGGATAGAGCACCAGCCCTGGAGTCAGGAAGACCTGAGTTCAAATCCAGCCTCAGACATATGATACTCATTAGCTATGTAACTCTGGGCAAGTCACTTAACCCCTGATTGCCTCGCAAAAAAAAAAAAAAAGAAAATTTAAAAAAAGAAAATAATATATTGGACAAGGAGCAAAAAGGACATGTTAGAAATTTCCAGGGAA